AAATCACCCTAAAATTTCACTTATTATTCAGATGAATCAAACTAAAGTCATATTCCTCTGGAAAGTAAGCTGCCATCTTCCTTCTCTCTTCAAGCTTCCAGAGATTTATTCATATTTGAATTGACTTATGAAATGTCGATAAGGCAAAAATATCTTGAAAAGTATCCTTCTGTAATCTTCAACCAAGGCAGAGCCAAACATTCCCATAATTATGTAAAGTATGAAGCCCTTCTTGCATAGAGCACACAATAATCCCCCAAGCTCGTAAAGATGGTGTTCTATTTTATTTCTGACAGATTATTTCAGAATATTGAAGCAGATCTCTTTTAAAGGAACACTGGTGAATATACTCCTGCTAGAAATTCCTTTTTCAAATCAAACTCTAAATATCTTCAGACTCATGTGAACATTAGTATATAATGAAGCCTACCCTCACTGCAGCCTAACTAACCTGGGCTGCTTCACTAGAATGCTTCTGAACTCATTTTTTATTAGAATATACCAATAGGAGAATGGTTAAATAAACTGATATTCCCATATGATGGAATTATGCAGCCATTAAAGGTGAAGCTTATAGATTCTGGTTTGAAAGGTACCAAGCTTTCTTCGTCTTATCTAAAATGTCTTAAAATATTCACAAAAAGAGGAGGAGTCTAAAACCCAAAACACTCTAGATTAGAGCTTGATGGTACTATATTGACCAAATCTGGAATGAATTTACTAACTGTGAAGAAAACAGAACTAGATTAAAAAGAATAATCATGGACTACTTATGCCCTGCTGTTCATTCACTTGCCTACCTGAAAGTAAGTAAAAAGACCCTTCATCTCCATTTCCACAGCGTATGCACAGACATGCAGACACACACACACACACACACACACACACAAACACACACACACACACTTACTTTAGTAATTGAATGAAGCACATTTGCTGGGAATGATGACATAATCAGCTTGGTTTTTTTAAGTTTATTTATTTATTTTGAGAGAGAGAGAGAGAGACAGAGTGGGGAAGGGGTAGAGAGAGGGAGAGAGACAGAGATCCCAAGCAGGCCCTGCGCTAACAGGGCACTGACTTGGGGCTCAGACCCACAAACCATGAGATCATGACCTGAGCCGAAAACAAGAGTTGGGTGCTTAACTGACTGAGCCGCTCAGGTGCCCCAGGTATATTCAGTGTAAAGTAAGTTGAGTTTCGCATGCCGAATTGAGATATCCAATAGCCAATTGCATGTATTAAATCCTTTCAGTCTAGCGATAGACTTGAGATTTTTCTGCATGTGAGAGGTAATGGAAATACCAGGAAAGAATGGATTTGCCCAGAGAGAGCAGAAGGGGATGAAAACCCAGAGCAAAAACACAAAGCAGAGATTGAGATTGAGAAAGGGTGGCCAGGAAGGCGGAAGAGTAGTCAAGTACTAGAAGCCAGAGGGAGAGGATGTTTAAAAGGGAGAAAACTATCCACAGGCCAAGTATTCTGAGAAGTCAAGTAAGATACAAACTATAAATATCCATTGGGTTTCTTGATGAGAAGAGGGTCATTACTGGCATTAGACAGACTTTTCCAGTGGGTTTATGGGGACCGAAGCCATACAATAGTGGTTTAAGAAGCAAGTGGGAGGTGTTGAAGTATAAACACAGAGTAAGGACAACGCTTTCCAGAGGCTGCAATGAATAATGGAATGAATAATCTTTATACATCAATCTCTTTCACAGCCTAAAATGTCATTAGAATACATTCTTAGAATTTCTAGGTCAAAGGATAGACATATTTTAAAAACTTATGATAGAGAATGCCAAATTGTCCCCCCTACTATTAACCTTTAAAACAGTTCCCACGTTTATCCTTCAATCATTGATTTAAGCCAGTCCCTTCCCCTTGTTGCCTTTAATATCAAAACATCACCTGTGTACAACATTCAGAAAGGATGACTTTCAGGCACTGCAGGAGTATAAATCATTGAAATGTGAGGTACTTCATTCGTGCCTTCAGTATATGTGTATGGAGAGCCTAGTAGGCGGCAGAGGGTGAGAGGATATTAGGTAAACACAAAGAACGAGTGCTTTTAGTGGATAAGAAGAACATTTAATCCATAGTTACACCTATAACCATTATATTGCAATTGTGTTAAGTGTCAATAAGAAAAATACTATGACAGAGGAGCATAATCTTGTCTAGGGGTCAGGAAATAGTCTGGGAAAATGAAGGATGGGTAGAAGTTGGCCAGGGTGTTGGATTATCTGTAGTCAATTCAACCTAGCCACCGCCTCTTCTATTGCAATTTCACTGCTTAGCAGAATGAGGAACTACATTTCCCAGAATCCTCTTCCTTTGGGGGGACCCAGTTTAGAGTTAGACAATAAATGGAAGGCAGAGAAGAAGAGAAAGAAGAGAAAGTGGTGTTCTCCAGTGGCAGGTGCAAAGATTCATGGCTAGACTGCAGAGAGGAGGTTTGCAGAGGATTTGAGGTGAGCTCCTGCAAGTCATTTGCTTCTGTGCAATCTAGGCAGCTGTAAAGGTTAGTGGCAACCTCCTAGAAGTTAGTGCTACAGGCTGAACTCAGTGAGATTGAGCCTAAGCCCTCGCTGGGGCATGTAAACCCCTCATACCTTGTAGGAGAAGAAATGTTTCAGGTGGAAAGAATAACGTATTAAGAAGATCCTGAAGTGAGAAGACACTTGGCATCTTCTGCAAGAGCCACTGTGGCTGGAGTCCAATGAGTGAGATTGACGGGTGGGAGCAGTAGAGTCTGATTATTCAGGAAACGATGGGAAGAACCCTTAGCCCCCTATCTAGCAGGTATGGTAGTAACTTGAACAAATACAACTTTAAAAGATTTAGGATAGCTTTTCTTTAACCAGAAAATCCCATCAAGCAGAAAACCCCATTATCCAAACATTGGATTTGTAGCAGATACTTTACTCTTGAATTTTCATATTTGTCTTTTCATCATTTAGTAATTTTAATATTTTTAGTCACATTAAAGGATCCTAAAGACATTTAATAACGCCTTAAAGATAGTTTGCTGCCTTCCTTCAGTTCATGCTTAGCCTTTCTCTTCCTGATCAATCCATTAACAAATATTTATTGAGCAGCTTCTTTGCACAAAGCATGAGATAGACACTGTGGGATTACAGCTCATAGAGGACGAGGGGAAAAAAATCATTAAACAGTTGAAAACCAACATAAGAGTGTTCAGTTCATAGCTCTAGTCTAAAGAATGCCTCTTTCAATAATTCATATGTTCATTTAATCTGTATGAATAAACGTAAGCAAGTGTAGGGTGATGGCCGCATGCTAAGTCCTCAACCTGCAGTGTTCTGCTCCCCCTTTGTTTGTAGAACTCCTAAGCGTTCTTCAAGATGCAATTCAACTGTCACCCCTGGGATCTTTCCTGACTTGCCCAGGCTGTCGCATCTCCTTCCTCTGTAGTCACAAATCCACTTGTATTTACCTCTACTACAGTCCTCAGCACATGTTCTTACAACTTCATGTTTGCCCTATACATTTCTATCCAATGGCAGCAGAATAATATTCCTCATTATGACATCCCCACCTATAATGTTGCCTAACACATGTTTGCATTAATGCATTCATTTGGTGGACAGATTCAGACTCACTTGGCAAGAATATTTTCCCCTTCGAAAACAATGTGCCTTTGGGGGTACTATAGACTTTCGTTTCCAGAAAGGCTTATCTGATTTCTTTTCTCTTGTGGATTTTGGCATTTTCTGCTTCAATCAGATCTTTTGAATTATTTTGCTGTCTTCATGGGAGCTCAGTCCTTTTGCTTATTGACTGCCATCTTGTATTTCTGGCCCATGATTGACAGAGCAACTGGAATCTACGAGCAGAAAATCAATAATGCAAGGCCTTCAGACAGTCCACTGATGCTCTTGAAGAAACTGGTTTCCTGGTCTCAGTGGCAGTCACTGATCAGAAAATGTAAAACTAGCGAGCCATGAATAGAAACAATGTAAAGTCAGCCGCACTGTTTCTTTGCATGAGAGGGTTTTTATATTGGTTTCCTGTGTTTAAATTCTGTGATGTTTCTCAGACCCTAGAGGGGGATGAAAAACGGGTGGATGGAAAAGAAAGGGAGAGGGAAGAGAGCACTGAGGGAAAATTGTGAAGTGTGCAGATTTGTATTCATTTGTTTTCTCATTGCCACACTAACCTTCACCAGTCCTTAAGCTTTAGGGATCCTAAATGTAAATTTGTTCTTTAACATAACATTTTCCTTGTTCAAGTATAAGTGACACTCGAGTAGACATGAAAGATTCGAGACTTATTACTTGCAAGTTAGCATTTTACTGCTAATGTAGTCTGCCACCCTTTACCTCCTAGTTTTATGGTTGTCTAATTATAGCCTGCAGGCCTATGGTGGTCCTTTGCTACTTCAACTGGAATGTAGCTTCCAGTGAATTCTCCCCATTAGGACCTCCCACTGAGTTATTGATTATTAAGGTAATGCACTTTTAGTGTCCTATCTTTAACATGGAAATGTAAAAATGAATGGCTTGCAGTTGGAAGACTAAAAAATGAAGGAGAAGAAGAAAGAAACTTCCCTATGGAGAGTCCTGTATGCTTTTTAGGTTACTGTTAATTTAAAACATTGTCAGACAAAGCAGTTTACCTGTCAAGTGATTATACATAAAAGGCACTTTATTATTGTATATTTTAATCTCTAAAGGAAGACACTTTGACATAGAAAAAGCTGGCTATTGATATTTAAGAAAGAAGAAAGAGGGAGGAAGTGAAGGGGGAGGGAGGGAGGAAGGAAGGAAAGAAGGAAGGATGCTTGTCAAAATCAATTTTTTTAAGGAAAGAAAGTACAAATATGGCCCCTTTCTAGGCAAAAAAAAAAAAAAAAAAAAAGGACAACCTTCATATTAACAATTCTGGTTATGGACATCTTGTCTAAGCTGTAGGAAACAAAAGAGAAAGGGAACTGAAGCCTCTTCATTATTTAGATGGAAAAACATGACTCTAGGTTATATCAAGACCATCCTTTATGAGGATCCTCCATGGGAGCCCACACACAGGATAAATACTGGCAAATGGCATGCAGGAAGTAGAATCTGTTAGATGAATTGTCTGTAGGTGAGGCTTCAGTGATAGAGGGTCCTCTTTCCTCCGTGCAGGGAAGAAACCTGCATTTGTAGAGCAGCTCTTCGGTGCTGCTGCCCTCCATTAAAGCTACCGGAGCAGCAACGGCGGTGAGAAAGAACTGGTAGGTGAGTAATAAGGAAAAGAGGATGAATTGGGTGGGTTCCCCCCGAAACTGAGCTTGAACGCCCAGACCAGCACCTTATTTTAGGTGAAAGCAGGAATCAGAAGCTGATAAACTCACTTGACTCTTGGAGAGGAAATGGAATCATCGATCACTTTTTTAACTGCAAAATCTATTGAAAATAGACCCAACAGTCGGTCTCAGAGGTGCTCATGATTAGTTTTTGAGAATTCAGGAATCCTGCTGTCTTCACATGCCTGAAAAAGATAAAATGCTGTTTGCTTGTGAGTTACATAATGTATTATCTGAAAGCATGCTGAAAATACAAAATGCTATCCAAATGTTAGCTAGTATCTTTTCGTTGTCGTATTTTCTTTCTTGATGAAAGCAGTACCAGTTTGCAAATTTAAGTGAAAAAGCTAAATCTAACCCTTAGAGGCTGGCTGCTGTTCACGGAATGATTGGGTGTCGGCATTTGAATCCTAAATGGTCCAAAGAGGGCCAATTATCATTCGATGAGTATCCTAAGCATTAGTATTATTCATCAGACAGGTTCATCTGTAGATCTTAAAAAACTCTGCCAAATAAGTACCATTAACCTGGCCTCTCTGGATGGGATCTCAGGAGGAGATCTCAAGACATAAAGAGTTTAAGAGACTCAACTTCAGACGTAGAACAAGTTGGGGGTCAGGCATGTGAATCAAACTAAGCCACTGACCTACCAACTAGACTCTGCTTTGCCTCAGAAGCTGGGTACCCGAGAGACCCTTGAAAGCAAATAAGGTGCTAACAGCCATTAATTAACTTAAGGGTGGGTCCTAGTTTAAAGGGAAGGTGCTGGCTTTTTTATTAGCAGAAGGAATGTTTTTAATTGGATTTGATAATAACGCCCTCTGAGCCATATAAACCCGGAACCGTTCTTTCGCTATAAATTTAAAATTCCAGACTTGAGTTGCCAAGGAGAAAGGACAATAATACTACTCTCTTCCCTAAAGGGAAAGCCGAGGCTAAAGTAAAAGAGAATCCTGGAGAGGCTAATGTTGGAGTAGGAGTTGGGTAAGGACCTGGGGTTGGATGTAATTTGCTTAGAGGCTAGGGGGAGTCACAGCCCAAACCCTCCCCTCCCCCAACACTAAGGACCAGACCCACACTTCTGATGAGTTGCAAATGTTTTATAAAGCTTTCTTCTTTTTTTCTTTTAGGATAAGCTTCCTGTCTCATAAAAAAAAAAAAAAATCCCCACAAACTTTTAGCTCTCTTTTAAGCAAACTGTCTGCATGCTGTAATTAAGTTTCATTTTTTCACATTGACTCCACCGGATGGAGGGTGCCATAAATCATATGAACAAATGTTCAGCTAAAATCCTCTCTGTAAGCATCATAATTTAAGTGAATTCATTCTCAGTTCATCTCTTGGAGACATGATCTCATAGCATCTGTTCTGGACAAAGATAGCCATCTTTATTACCTGGGAAAACCGCAGTGAGTTTATCCCAGCTTACTTTGGATAGGCCCTTTCCTCATTCATTCATTCATTCATTCAGTGTGTGTGCGTGTATGTGTGTGTGTGTGTGTGTCTGTCTGTCTGTCTGATTAAACAACAACAACAACAACAACAACAACAACAGTGTGGATCAGTTATTGCTTTACTGAGAAATCACCCCTTTGTTCATGTGTCTGGACACTCACCTAATCAGTGATACATAATCAAATTGCTCTGCCCCTTCTCTGGGCCACATTTACCACTAGCAATGTAGAAAGTTTTGGCTGTTGTCTCCAGGGGGTTCTTCCTTGTGATCTCCTTGTTGTTAGGCAGAATTTCATGAGGGCAGGAGGTATATAACCTTGCGTGGTAGGAGAATCAGTCCATGATTTTGTTGTGCCCTGTTTTAATTAGTTTGTATTATGAGCACTATCTTAAGATGAAAAATATACTGCACATTGTTGCAGCTTGAGTTGTCAAAAACAGCAGGAGCTATTTGGCCTTAGTTTCGACATACTTTAAATGCCACTGGAATGTGACCCCATGGAAACACAGCTACTTTTACCCACCAGTTGCCAAGGCTCACTTGGTATTGTTGGTCCACATATTGTTATTGTGATTCAGGTGTGAACTAAGACACCTTAACACACTCTGGTCTTACCACTCTCTATTACCTTCCTCTTCACTCTTGTAGATGTTGAGTTTTTAGTTCATAACCTAGGCTGAGACAGGTCTCCTTTGATTCGAGTGTAAGGCTGTGACAGCAACACTTTTCCAAGTACAAAAATGGTATGTAGATCAATTTTCATCTGAGAGAACTCGTTAGGGGATCGAAATACTGAACCAGGATCATCAAAGACTTTGAGAAGCTAGAATGTTGGGCTTACTAACAAGATGGATTTCAACAGGGATAAATGTGAAGGCCTTCATTTATGCTCAATAGACCAGCTGCATAAATACAGAATGAAGGAGGGATGGCTTCAAGATAGTCATGCATGTGTTTTTAAAAGATATAGGCTTTTTAGGTGACAGCAAGACCAACGTGGGTTAATCGTATAGGATGTGGCTGCAAAAACGTCTTTTAACAATTTGAGAAGACAACTCTAGAAGTGTGGAATCCGGATCAAGGGAATGACGTGTCTGTGTGCCATACTGTTTATTCTTTAAGAAAGGCATTACACAACTGGATTTCATCTGAGAAGTAAGCTGAATGGAAGGGAATTTGAAACTATTTCCTGTAAGTAGCAGCTGAAGAAACATGAAATATTACCCTGATGAGGAAAAGACTTGAAGGATCTATGATTGTTTTCCTCAAATATTTCAAAGGCTCCCTTTGGAAGAAGAACCATCTAGTTCGCTACTGACCAAGAAAGAGAATCATACTCAGTCTATAGGGTCCTTGCAGAAGCTCATTCCAGTGCTAGCTTTGGTAGCACATACACTAAAACTGGAACGATACAGAGAAGATTAGCATGGCCCCTGCACAAGGATGACACACAAATTCATGAAGCATTCCGTATTTAAAAGAAGAAGAAGAAGAAGAAGAAGAAGAAGAAGAAGCAGCTCATACCAAGTTTTTTATTTGTACTTAAGAAGTCAGTATGGAAATGTACGATCATTTGTTTCATTTAAAGACGATCTCTTTATTGATCAATTTGAGAAATTCTTTAACTACATTATCTTGCTTTCTTCTGGTAGGGCAGGCATACAGAGTGAGGCATAAATGATCCAGAGTGCTACATGTGTACGGAAGTTGTAAGTGACAGCTAGAGAAAAGGGTAAGGGTCCAAAGCAGAGTGTATGGAATGAAATTCTTTCAGGCTGAGTTTTATTTTGTAGGTAATGCAGACAACTAAGGAGAGAGAAGAAGCGTATCACAATGGTCCAGAAGCAGAAAGGATTTTATGAGTCCATATGGGTGGAACATCAGCTTAGACACGTTAGGACTGATGTGGGAAATATTTCCAGGTTGACTCAACCAAGAATTCAGTCTAGGTATTTTTCAGTCTACAGGAAATCTACTGTTAAGTAGATGCATGGCAAGGGACTGGAAAAGCAGTTCACAAAAAGAGATAGCTAGGTCTCCACAGCCCCCACCTATTTAATTTACTTAAACTTCTGGGGCATGGATTGAAATATCTGCTTTCAACTTATTTGGGTGCCATGTAGCCATAGAATGAGCCAATGACGATGGAACTGACACTATTTGCAAAGGCTCTCCCTTGACCTTGGGCACACATGTAAAATATATTTACTTAGCACATTTCCCCCCCTCTTTAAGGTGAGAACAATCCACATGTCTACTACTAGTTCCTCAGCACAAGTATAAAAAGATAGAGATAATAGGTAGGTTAAGGTATGGCAGCCCTTTTGTTCTTTTATGCTTTCCAGACTTGATGAATAAGGAGGACCCTCTTATCCATCCATGTTTTTTTAATAACCAGTGCTCTGTTTCTTATGCTGTGTTTCACCCTAAAGCTGCTCTGGGTGGTGATGGTGGTGGTGAAAATTTAAGACATTTATAACAGATACTTACACAACATAGGTTATTATGACTACAATTGCTACTATTTTTATGATTCCTGATCCTATGGTAATCCAGGGGGTAGTTAATAACTCCCTTGGTGAAAACTGTTTACCCATAAACACTTTCATGAAGGCTGAGTAGCAATTAAGGTAATGGTTCTGGTGTAGGTAAAGGTAAATGACCTCGTTAAGGCCCCGGCCTAAATGGTACCCTGGTGACCTGAGAATGCTAGTAAGCAGCAGTTTAGTCACATTGAGTACTTTATTCACCACATCTCAAGCCCTCTATCATTATTGTTTGCTTACCATCCTTCACAGTGTGACACGGGAATGCTGGGTTTGGGTTGAGAGAGTGTGTGCACGTCAATGTGCCCAGAGAATTTGAACTGTTGGCCAGAAACAGTACATCTTGAACTGCAAGTTCACTTACTTGGGTGACAGTCATCTCCTATGTTCTCAAGAATCGGCAGCATTAATCTTGGCTTAACCACATTCAAATCCTATAATCGTTTATCCACTGATTCGTTTCAGCCAATGTCATAAATCCATCTAAATCCTTTACCTATGGAGAGAAAGAGCAAACCCTGAAAAGAATTATTCACTTGACTAGCCTGCTGGTGCTATCATAAAATGCTGCTTAATTATTTCTAACACTACAACATTTAATGGATCTCCATTATGGGACTCCTAATCCTTTACTCTCTGTGTGTGGTGGGCTCTTTGAAGAGAACATGGCATCCTCTAAGATGCCCAAAGTAGTTATCATTTAGTGCCAACAAAGTGGCCACTGCTGCATAGGACCACGCCTGTATTGCCTTCTTTTCAGTGAAGAACTACCGTGCTGTTCACACAGATATTTCTACAAATGTCCAAAGGCCAGGACATATTAAATAATAGGATCTTAAACAATATAACATGGTTCACCAGAAATTAGTAATTAAGCAAACCATAGTCTATGCGACGATTCAAGCCACATAATTATCTAACCCTCTGAGTCGAAAACATGAGCAAATTTTTAATGCCACCTCTGCCATCTCTAGGACCAGAGTATAGGTTATGGTTTTCAACATCCCACAAAAGGGAGAATTTAGCCTGGCAGAGGCAGATGGATCAGAACGGGCTCTGAGTTGTCTTCATCGGTCACAGGGAGGAGACAGCAGTTCTGTCCATAGGTTCTAGCAGGTGTAAAAACAATGGCATGGATACACTGTGTGTGTGTGTGTGTGTGTGCGTGTGTTCACACATAAATGTATGGTGCTCACGTGCATTTCATCAGGCTTCCCAGAGGAAAGTCCAGTGGGTGGTGGAGCTGGCTGAGTATAGCCATGACTCTTATTAAAATCACGGTAATGGCGGCGGGGGGGGGGGGGGTGTGCCTGGGTGGCTCATTCGGTTAAGCGTCTGACTTCAGCTCAGGTCACGAACTCGCGGTCCGTGAGTTCGAGCTCCACGTCGGGCTCTGGGCTGATGGCTCAGAGCCTGGAGCCTGCTTCGGATTCTGTGTCTCCCTCTCTCTCTGCCCTCCCCCATTCATGCTCTGTCTCTCTCTGTCTCAAAAATAAATAAACATTAAAAAAAAATTTTTATAAAATCACGGCAATGGGGCGCCTGGGTGGCTCACTTGGCTGGATATCCAACTCTTGATTTTGGCTCAGGTCATGATTGCACGGTTCATGAGTTCGAGCTCCACGTTGGGCTCTTCACTGACAGTGCAGAGCCTGCTTGAGATTCTCTCCCTCTCTCTGCCCCTCCCCCAATCTCGTGTGCTCTCGCTCAAAATAAATAAACTTTTTTTAAAAAGTCATGGTAATGGTCTGGCTGTCAGGTGCTGCAGCGTATGTTCATGAGCAGCCCACCCATTCTCTCAGTCTTTCACAAAAAACAATGCATTGCTTACAATTCATACACAGCATTTTCTCTAACGTCATACTCGACACTGTGACAAATTGTTTCATTTTTTCTTATGACCTAGGACCTAGAGGCTTCAGCTAATTCAGGAAACAATCTGGTGACCAAAAAGAATTTTCTCAGGAACCCCACCAGGAAAACTTTGCAATGCTATAATTCTTCAAAGAGTCAGCAACTTAAATGAGAAAAGCATACATTTTCAATTAAGATTCAGATTTTGTGTAATATCACTCTTTAAACATCAAAATAGAAATGGCTAACCAAAGCCATGTCAAAATCATAAGAAAGAGGAAAGAAGCAACACAGATTCCAGAAGCCAGCGTGTCTGTTCCAGATGGCATACTTTGAGTCTGAAAATTCATTAACAGATCGGCAGTGTTGTTTTTTGCGTTTTGTTTCATTTTTAATATTCCGCACAGGTGGCTTGATTTGTCTGTCCACAATGGGATTACAACCACTGAGTCAGGAAAGAACTCAGCCTTGAATGCATCACCCATGCCACCTGCCTGGCAGCTTCCAGAACTAAAGAGCAGCAGGTCAGGGGTTCAGGGAAATTTGAGATTTGCAGGGACCATGGCAAGAGGGAAACAGTCCCTATTCCTTCCTATAGCCCTGAGTGCTGCCAGCTGGATTAGGTACTCCCAGCATGGAGGAGGCCCAACCAGTCTCTCCTGTTTTCCATGACACAGTTGTTCGCTTAATCCTCCTTTTGGACTACCTAATCCTCAGTTAACCACTAGTTAAGGACGTCACTACCTCCTGGAATGGGGAGGAGACCAAAGCACAGAGCACTTGATACATTTCAAGGCAGCCAGGGACTGATCTGAGAAAGCTACCTCTCTAGCAGAAAAAAAGTCCACATACACAAAAGGATGGCCAAATAAGCAAACATTTCTATTATGTGCCTATATAATTATGCATATATACTCTGTTTGGAAAACTTAGAAAGTAGGAAGACATTTTTACTTTGGGAGTCAAGAAGGAAAAAATGCTCAGCAGTGCAGGCTGGCCAGTATAAATTGTGCTGTTGAGGAAAGTGTTAGCAAAGGTGTTTCCTGAATGGCTCACTTCACAGGACCCAGTGCACTCAGGTAACAGCTGATGCCCTGACATCAAGTGCCGGAGCCAGAACATGGCAGGAAGCAGATGGTGTCATATTTCCTGGGTCTCACTGTCCAGTTGAGTTCAGCGCCTGCCAAGTACAAAATGAAACGTCTCTCCTTTCACAGAGCACCGCACACATGGCAAGCTGGGATGGCGGCTGTGGAGGCAATGGCAAGTTCAGGAGAAAGCGGAAGCCTCCGAAGCACAGGTGCATTCTGATCGAAGACGGGGAGGGCACAGGGCGGAACTGGCAGCAGGAGGTCACTCTCTCTTTTCATCCATTTAACAGACAGAGCAGAATGGTTTGCAAGTCAGATGCTGAGAGAGGCAATGGAAATTCAGTCACAGCAAAAAAAGGTAAACAGCCGGGCGAACTCTTGAGTGGCCAGATGGACAGTCAGGTCACAGGTCATCAAATCAGTCACACGGTGCCACATAAAGCAGCAGGCTGGCACTAACAGGGAAGACCCACCTGGCAGGCTGGCAGACAGGCATGCAGGGCACGGCTCAGCTACCTGAGATGAGGCTGGGAGAGAGAGAGGCGAAGACAGGGGGCTCCTCTCCAGACCCTATTGCCCCTAGCCTGCATCAGCATCATGCCTTGGGGTTCAGTAAATGCTTCCAAGAGAAAATATGTGCCCCTCCTGAGTTATATCACCAACATCAACCGAGCAGCAACTTCTATATATAGAGAGAGCTGCTTTTTAAAAAAAAAAAAAAATTAATGCTCGTTTATCTTAGAGAGAGAGAGACAAAGCATAAGTGAGGGAGGGGCAGAGAGAGAGGGAGACACAGAATCCGAAGTAGGCTCCAGGCTCTGAGCCATCAGCACAGAGCCTGGTGCGGGCTCTAACTCACGAACAAGGAGATGATGGCCTGAGCCAAAGTCGAACATTTGACCCACTGAGCCACCACCCAAGTGCCCCTAGAGAGAGCTTCTATGTATTTTTAATAGCATATATAGATAGATAGATAGATAGATAGATATAGATATATAGATACACACACACACACACACACACACACACATATATATATATATATATATATATATATATATATATAATGGGTGTCTTTGCTCATTGGCATGCTATGCACAGATAATTAGTTAGCCATCCCCAGCCATGAGCAAGGATCCTGGGGGCCTATTCTGAGAACCGTATGTGTTGATGAGTAAAGGGGAGAAATAAAGCTAACAGTGCTGCAGGCAGGAAAGTGGAATGGAAGCCTTAAAGAGTCATCAGAAATCTTGGGGATTAACCTCACCTGGAGGGTGGGGCTGGGGGCAATATGGCCGAGGGGAAAACACCAGAACTTCAGAGTCGGTTGGAATCAGCTTTACAATTTTGCCAGATTTGTAGCCTTGGGCAAGAGACCACCTTTCTGAGACTGGGTGTTCCTATTTATAAAATGAGTCTTCTCTACCAAGAGGAGTTGTGAGTATGTCCTGGACTTCTGGTCCAGAAACTGCTCAGAGAATGACAACAATGATTTCTTAAAATTTAGCTTAAGGTGAGTCCTAACCTGAAGAAACCAGAACTCGCTAGTTCAGGACACTTTCTGTTGCAAATGCTACAAAGGACAACTGAAGTCACTTAAGCAGAAGGAGAGAATGCATTGATTCTTTTACAACTGAGTCTAGAGGCACAGTTGACTTTGGGTAAAGGCTCCTCCTAATATCACCAAGGCTGTCCCCGTTCTTTCATTTCTTGGCTCTCCTTCTTTTTTGGTGTCAATGTCCTGTCTCCAAACTGTTGGCTTCTTTCATAAGTCTGAGAATCCCTGGCTTTCACTGTCCTTACCACCTAGTACATAGGTCATTTCAGACCAGTGCATCTTCGCCCTGCAGACCACCTGGATGCTCAGAAACCAGGAGCAGGTCTGGGAATGTTCTGGCCCTTCAAGTTGGTGGTCTTTCTCTACCCAACCTTCCCTGGTTATTTAGCTACATTGTGGACTGCTGATTCTGAAGCCTTGCCCCATACCTGTGGCATGTAGCCTATGCCCTGACCCCTTGCCTGGATCCTATCAGCCTCACCCTGCACCATGCTTCAGAAGAGCTGCCATGCCTCTGCAGACATGACTCTGCAAGCTTTCCATTGTGGAATGCAGCATCTCTGGTCCTCTGCCTTTCTGCCTCTTTTTCCCTACATGTTCTTCCCTTCTCCTGCCCAAAGATCCCTAGATGCTGGGGATCTAGAATCTGTGTTCTCATTTCCCTTTCTCTGCTCCATACTTCCTTTGCCAAATCTTCACTACTGGATCATCTTTTCTCCCATAGTATGGTCATTATGTCAGTGGGCACCAACAACCTCACGTGCCAAAAGTCTTAAAAACTTTAGCATCCGAGACATCTGGGGCTGTCCTCTATGGTGGGAGCTTGAGACTACCATGGTACTTGCATGCAAAGGAGCATCCATTCATAAATTTAAAAAAAAAAAATTAAAGAAAACATTGCCCCTCTCTTTAGTGGCCCTCCTCCTCCATGAGCCCCTGGGGTATGGAAGGACATACCAAAGCAATATTTAGACCTATAGAATAAAAGGAGGC